ATCATTATTATTATTATTATTATTATTATTATTATTATTATTATTATTATTATTATTATTATTATTATTATTATTATTATCATTAATATTAATATTATTATTATTATTATTATTATTATTATTATTATTATTATTATTATTATCATTAATATTAATATTATTAGTATTGTTATAGCATTTTGTCTTATTATCCTAATGATAAAAGTAAGAATACAAGTAATGATACTTATAGTAGTAGCAAGTACATCGTTAGCAATAATAGTAATGGTAATAATGATAGAAATTATCATTTCAATATTTCGCTGTTACCATTATTACTATTGTTATTAATATTATCATTTCTTTTACAATTATTTCTATTACTATTACCAGCAAAATCAATCAAAATGACGGTGGTATTGGCACTGGTCCTTGATGTTATTGCAAAAGTGATTGCGAAATTTGATTATGAAATGATTTCTCATACATACATGGATGCTTTTACATTTATTCATATTTGCAAAATGAATATTCTATGTCGGTACTACCTTGTTTACGACCAAGAGTTCTGTACTTTGCAGGTGCAGATCGGGGAGAGTTACGTGGAGGGGTGGGAAATAGGGGGAGAGAGAGGTGAAGAGAAGAGAGAGAGAGAGAGAGAGAGAGAGAGAGAGAGAGAGAGAGAGAGAGAGAGAGAGAGAGAGAGAGAGAGAGAGAGAGAGAGAGAGAAGAGAGAGAAAGAGAGGAGGGGGGGAATAGGGAGAGGGAAAGAGAGATGAAGAGAAAGAGAGAGAGAGAGAGGTGAAGAGAAGAGAAAAGAGATAGATAGATAGATAGATAGATAGATAGATAGATAGATAGATAGATAGAGAGAGAGAGAGAGAGAGAAAGAAAAAGAGAGAAGAGAGAGAGAGAGAGGGAAAGAAAGATGAAGAGAAAGAGAGAGAGAGAGAGAGAGAGAGAGAGAGAGAGAGAGAGAGAGAGAGAGAGAGAGAGAGAGAGAGAAAGAGAAAGAGAAAGAGAGAAGAGAGAGAGAGAGAGGGAAAGAAAGATGAAGAGAGAGAGAGAGAGAGAGAGAGAGAGAGAGAGAGAGAGAGAGAGAGAGAGAGAGAGAGAGAGAGAGAGAGAGAGAGAGAATTAGAAGAAATAAAGAAATAGCCAGAGAGGAAACGAAACGGTGAAATATAATGAAGACAATTGCATTAATGTTAATGACAGCATCAATCATAATGTTGATTAGGGCAAAATTCAGATACCTTTTACCTAGTGAGGAAAAAAGAAAGTTTTGATGATTATAACAATTATAAATAATGACAAAAAATAACCCAAGTATCATCATTATCATCACTAATAGCAATGACAATGATAATAGTACATATTAACTAGAATCAGCAGAGAAATGAAACGATAGTCGAAAAAAAGATAAAATAAAACAAAAATTCCACCTTCCGCAGACGGCACCAGGCCTGCCTCAACCACTAGTTAAAGAGCAGGAAGCAGGTTTTGCCAAAGATCAAAGGCACACAAGGCAAAGGTTAAAACGGGGTTGAGATAGCAAGGGTTAAGACTGAGAAATTCAAGGGCGTGTCTGTATGTCTTGACAGCTCGGGTGAAAAAAATAAAAAAAAGTGTAAGCTGAGCTAGGTCAAGGCGAAACGAGGTCAGGTCAAGATAGGGTCGAGACAAGACGAGGCATTATGGAAGGAAATATTTGTCTTTGGTTTTCTTGTTTTGTTTTGTTTTTCCTTCTCTTTTCTTTCTTTTTTTTTTCTTTTTCTTGTGTTGCGATTTGCTGAGGTCAAGAAGAGCGATAGGGGTTGCGTCATCAGCTGTCTCGAAAAATTGGAAGCCAGAGGAATTTGGAATGTTTCTGGTCTTTATTTTTACTTATTTATTTATTTATTCATTTGTCTGTTTACTCATGAATTCATGTATCTACTTACGTGTTCATTTATTCATCTAATATCACTGAGGACATCCGGTTTAACGAGTTTTTATTTATCTATTTATATTTATTGTAATGTCATTGATGTTATTATTGTCATTGATATCATCATCATCATTAACATTATCATTGTTATTTATGTTGATACTTATGTAGATGTGTTTACTTCTAATCTATTTTTTCAGTCATTCATCTATTTTTACCTTCGTGAATGTTTGAAATCGAGGCGTCTATGTGTATGAGATTATGGCTGGAAACATGTGATTCCTGTAGGTATAATTATCCTGTTGATGCCGTTGTGTAAATCCTAAGATGTCGTGCCTGCAAAAAATCCCACACGAATAATCAACACCCACAGAACACACACCGGCTTAAGACGTCTAACACACATACCCACAACACAACACTGGGACGACCCTGATTACACGCAAAACACACATACACACACAGACACACACGCTCGAAAACAAACAAGCACACACACGCACACACACACACGCGCTCGAAAACAAACAAGCACACCCTTATATGGCCTTTATTTAACCACCTCTTCTCCTTCCCTCCTCCTTCCCACAG